GAAGAAGCATACGCTGATATTTCCCACTGATATTCTCATGGTCTCCAAGGATTTGTAACTCAGGCATTTCCTCAGTCAGAAGGGATTGCTAAATGTTTAATAACCCTCGGTAGATTTGCCATTTATGAGCCTGTGCAGTCTCCCTCAGAGTCCTATGAACTTTTTTCACCCACTGAATCCTGAGCAAGAAATTAGAAGCCATGTGCAAGAGCTACCTTTTTGTTGCTGTTCAGAACCAGATACCTGCTGTTCACCTGGGATGCAACTTACCCTGGAAAAGACTGTGAGCCTGTTTATTGCCTGCCTTTGACAGACAGTTTTACAGAGCTCTCCCCTAGTTGTTCTACTTGTTCTGCACAGCAACCTTTCATCACCCGTGAGGCTCCTTTGGGAACCTTTCCATGTTCTCTGTCCTTCCTCAGATGGGGACCAGAAATGTGCAGACTCATCAACATAGATTTATTCAATAGTTTATTTTTGCTACCCTAAAAGGAATCAATTTGCCCTTTTTGGGGGGGTTGGTTTTGTTTTTTGGTTTTGTTGGGTTTTTTGATCACAGGTGAAATTTTGACAGAATTATCTGTCATTACTCTGAGAATTCATTACTGCATGGTACTGGCCAAGTCAGAAGCTGTCATTTTATACATGAGGATTGTCTGCATGTTCATCTTCACCAGGTGAATCATGTTACCAACACACTGAACTCCATCTCCTGTTTTATTTTGCAGTCATTCTGTTTTGTATGGTCCTTCTCCAGCCACTCTTTGCCCTGGGTATCTGGGTGTTACAGTATTATGTACACACAGTACCACGTCATCTTCAGTCCCTTTTCAATGTCATTGATGAGCACCAGAATAGCACAGGAGAAAACTTAAAATGCTACAGGAAGCCACTGGGAATCTTCCTTATCCACTACAAAAGTTGCCCATTTACAGCCTTCTCCTTCCTAAATACCAACAAATTATTTACAAATGTAAATCTCACGTACCCAGCAGCTGCTCAGTCTCCTTAAGAGCCTCTCTTGAGGCAAATAAAGCTTTCAGGGTATCCAGAAAAACTGTATCAACCCTTTATCCAAGCTTGTTAACACCTTCAGAGAAGACCAATATGTTTGTAAGGCATGGCTGCAATTCCCGAAAGCAGTGTTGCCTCTTCCCAAATACATTAAATTTGTCCATGCATCCACTGCATTACAGTTTATGCTAGTTTGAACACTATGGATATCAGATTTATCAGCCTATCATTAGCCAGATCACACTTGCAATGGTTTTTTACAACTGGCAACGCACCAGCCACTTCAGTCTTTGGATATGAAGGCAGTGTAAGCAAGGAGCTATACACCATCAGTAGTACTTTGGCTTCTTTTAACAATAAATAAATAAATAACTATAAATCCTTGAGATCTTACAGAATTCTTGCACATTGCCTGGCCTTGGCAGCTTGTTCATCTTCATTTCAGTCTGCTTGTCCCATCACTTTCCCTGGCAACACTTCCACTTGCAGCAGTTCCTCTGATGTGTCTCCCATAATGAAAGGTTTTGGTTTGGGAACCAAACAGGGAATGCAGAAACAAGTAATTTTTTAGAAAGTATGCTATTGACTTACCTTCACTGAACACTCCTCATCACCTATTGGCCCTTTGGACTCTGGCAGGTTTTCTGCTCCTGGTATATTTGAAACAAGATTTATTATTAGTCTTGAAGCCTTCAGCAAAACTGTTCCTCAAAATCTTTGCCAGGCTGTCTGAATCCTTTTACGTTTACCCTGTCACAGTTTATAGTCCTTTCTGTTTTTTCATTTGATTGAAAGTTCAACTTTTTGAAGGATGCCTTCTTGCTTTAATAATCTATTTAATCCTGCTGTTTAGCTATGCCAGCATCCTCTTATCCTTTCTTAAGTCTTTCTTCACATGTGGTATGCATTTCTTGAGTGCCTCCAGTATGTCCCCAAAGAGTCTCCATGCCATCTGCAAGGATTTAACTCCCCTAGCTAATCCTTTTAGGTTTTTTGGTTTTGGTGGGTTTTTTTTCAGCAAGTATTCTCCTTTCTATGTGGTTTCCCATTTTGAAGCTGAGCTCAGCTATGGTGATATTTATTTGGCATTCACAAACAGCGAACATCAGGGATGTTTTATGCAGACACATCATAGCTACTCTTATAGAACAGTTCTCCAACTGCAGCATTTTGAACTCGGCCCTGCATTTTACCTAAATGCAAGTCCTAGAGCTGTTTCTCTTCTGGTGGACTGCATGGCCTGCCTGCCCCACACAAGCTACAGCTGTGAATCCAGTCTTGCCTCATGCCACCACCTGGCATCTACAGAGTTGGGGGCAGTTGAAATTTCCTTTACTTTTGCATGTCCTGCCCTTTTTTTTGTTCTGCCAAGGTTATTTCATTGGGTATATTCAAACCACTCCGTGACCATTATTGGCAGACAGGGAGGAGAGGGGGTGAGAAAAGGAAGACAAGTTACTTTTTAGAAAGCTCTGAAAAGTATATCTTAGTTGGGTTTCTGTGATCTGGTAAATAAGAGTATTTTACAGGATGGTAAACCTAGATCTTGGTATATGCAGGTGAGTCCCATATTAAGCATTCTTTGATAGAGGAAAATGTAAAATTGAATGCAGATTCCACAACAAAGCAAAAAAGATTAACTCATAAGCCTGTCTGTAGCAGCTACCAAGCTCCCTGACTTAGTCAAATATGAATCACAACATAACAGTGATATAATGTTCAGATAAAAGGACAGCTATACTCCAGCATGGTATGTTGAGATCCCTCAATGAAGCATATAATGACTCTCACCACTTTTAGTTGACAGAAAACAGGCACTTTTAGTGAAAGGAAAATATCTATACTTACAGGGCACATTTCATGATGTTGCAGCAGATATGGTGGACAAAATTCAAATTCATCTTTTGTACATTTTTTCCTTTCTTTGTGAACAAAAAAATAAAAGCCTCATTATACAGAAGGTGCCAGACCCATCCCTAACTGGCTGTAATTCTTACCGTAGTAGATGCCTGATTGCAGTATTAAACTGCAGAAAGATCACTTCTCTGTGAATGGCTAGCAGCTGGGCTACTTCCCTGGGATACAGTGAATTCTGGAGGCCCTCAAACATTTTCTGTATGTCTTGAAGTTCAGTCCCTGGAGTCCCAAGAACAGTAAGTTTATCAGGTAAGGTGTCAGAAAATGCACGTAAAAATTTCTGTTTTATAAACACATTTTCCCTCCAGGAGCTTTGTACTTCAGGACTTCTTTTTCATCCCTCCCCTGGAAGGCAGAAGAGGAATGTGTTTACATCCCCTTCAGTACTACAAAACCAGGCTTTAAGAAAAGGGGTTGTGGCAGGTGGAGAATTATGAAGGTCAGGGAGGAAGAGGCATAGGAATTAAAAATTACAAGCAACTCAGAATGATTCTTTTATTAATCTTGCCCACCAAAACATCAATTATTATAAAATGCCAACAAGCATGGTGGTGTGTCTTACTGATTATCATATCAACATTTGATTTGTCAGACAGGAGCAGAAACAGGGCTCAGCTGGCATTTTACTTACTCCAAAGACCTAAACTAGTTACAATCTAATAAAGAATGATAAGGACTTTTCCAACTGTTTTTAATAAAATGCTATTGGGGATCAATTCCACAAGCTAATAAATACTTTTCTGCTGAGATTGTAAAGTTTTCTTATCCCCTTCAAGCCTAGCAAAAAACTTCTCAAAGCAGTGGGTCTCAACAAGTCATTACCTTTACAAGAGCCCCTGCTCTTACCTGGTGTTTGTAGGAGTTGTGTTCACAGGGCTTGAACGCCTCCCAAGACACAGCCCCTGCAGAAGTGATTTAACTTGGAACCACCTGTTAGAGAAACCCGGTGTTCTCTCTGTCAGCCTGCAGGAGCTGCCATCATTTAAGAAGTTAGATGGTCTGATTTGGGTGAGAGGGAAATTTTTCTTCAGCATCAGCAACAAAAAAGATCTCTTGGTCATGAGCAATGAAGTTAAATTGTCTGTACAAAAATGTGTTATAAATACAGCAGAATACTGAGGATTCCATCTTTGTCCATATTTGCTGTTTTGAAAGTGTGGCAGCTAAGAAAGTATTAGATATGTCTGAAATTGAAATACATTGCACATAATATTCCTCCTACATTTGGTTATATGTTTTCTCACTGATCTCTGAACTCAGTCCTCCTGATTGTTTCAAAGCTCATTAAAAGTGCTAATTTACCTGAGCTTTCTCAGCCATATACAAATGGAGTTACTAATACGCATTTGATGGTACAATGTGCACACACCGCGGACCAGGCAGTGCTTTTTGTTGGCGAAGATAAACCCACTTCAAAATCAAACATGCACAAACACAATATTAAAATAAAAGCTGTAACAAGTGTTTATGATTCACTGAGTCCTCTCTTCTCTTCCAGAACAAAATTTCAAGAGATAAATTCAGAACTGATAATAAAAATCTTACATAAAAACACATAAAACCTGGAGACATTAAAAGACAAAGCTAGTCTTTTATATATTTTTCCCAGTTCTTGAAGAATTTAGTATTATTACCCAATTGCCATAATCAATTTTTCATTTTTTAAAAGCTACCAGGATAGAAGGGAAGCCGCATGGGTAAACTTTTTACTCCTGAGTTGCATCTGAGCGGCACCAAATGTACAGATATATAAATGTGGTCATTTCTAGGTGCCATGAAAACAGTCCAGCCATGCGGCACACACACCCACAGAGGAGGAGGTATGCACAACGTGCCGTGTTTCGAAACTCCAGCTCACTCTACTGTGGGAATAATCCAGGGGCTGAAAAGTCAAACGCCAAGAGCACTTTAGCGCTTGGCACAGGATTATCTCATGTGGCTTTAGTTGCTCAATTATCAGGCATCAAGTTTAACTGGGCTCCTGCAACCTTGGGCACCTCTAAAGAGGGTTTCATCCCACTCACTTTGAATACATTTTAGCCTGGGACAAGCAACTCTTCTGAAGTGACAGCAGAGGTACCTAAATGGTGGTTAGTTGCCAGCAGTTACACACCTCACTAAAGGAAAGGTTGGTAAATCCTACTCCTGCAGTACAGCTTAACTTGAACAACAGGTCAAAGCTACTGGGGAAACCAGTCCTATTTCTGCACAAATCCATGTTCATGCAGGACAACACATAGCTCAGCTGTTTCACCCTTTGGAAGGAGTATCAAGATTTACTAGAGGAGGAACCCAAGCCTGCCTTTTTTAATCTCCTGGTAAAGATAAAATCAACATGGGCTGACCAGATGGCTTAACAGACACTTGCTAGAGGCGGAAGAGCAATTTTTGGACCATGTTTTCTGTTCCCTGCTGGAGCAGACCTCCCAAGCCCTGTAGGTACACTGCTTTGCTGTGAGATTGTGACAGATATTATGATGTGGTGGGCATGCTCCCAAAACACAGTCTTCCATCAGTAAAATGGAGCATAAAAAGAGTAAAAAAAAAAAGATAGAATTCTGTCATTATTCTTCAGCTGACGTCAATCTCATCTTCATACTCCTCTTGTCGCTTTTTCACCATCAGCACTTCATCATTTTGCACTTGGAACCATTTACCTTAAGGACACAGTATTTGTTACTTAGCAGTCCTGTTGGTCCCCCCCCAGTCTGGGATCAGAGGCTTTTCAGTTTGGGGAATTTCCTAAGTGAGCAGAAGCTAAGAGATACGAAACCATGTTGTGAAATGCACCAATGATTTCTAGGCTTAGGTGGAGAGCTCTGAGAGCAGTCTACAGACAAAACAAACACACAAATAAAACCATTCAGATGATTGTCCCTAAGCAAACACATCAAAGTAGCAAATATCTTTGCTTCCCGGGTACCAACTCTTCCTGGGCACCAAATGAGACCTTCCTGGGATAGGGCTCTCAGAGCAAGGTCAAGCTCTGGATTTTGTCCACCCTTAGGTTATCACTCCCAGCTGTCACTGTCCCATCTGGTGTCACAGCTTCTGGTTAGAAACTGCTTCCCCAGTGTCTCTTACAACCACTTTTTTTCAGTGTTTATAGCAATGCAAATAGATAGACACGGCCAGGCAGCCTTCCCCTCACAGTCCTTCCCCCCTGCACTGCACCGTCTCCAGCTCCTGCACTGCCAGGGGCAGCCTGGATACCTCCTCCCTCATGTCCCTCTTCTCCTTATTTCAGCAGAAATAAGTCAGAGAGCATAAAGGTCCCAACCTGCCACTTCTTTCCCCATCTCCAGTGACAAGCTAAATTGTAATGCATGTGAAAAGATGTGTGCAGTTTACTCCCTAGAACATCTCTTTTAGTATTAGCAAATACTGACCTTCTCTGGAAGTGTTTTGAACATGATCAATGCTTCAGTAGGGTGAGGGATGAACCACAAGTTGAGGAAGGTGCATCCATCTGGAGAGAGCAAAGACAGTGATCGAGGATGGAAGGATCTGAGTTATTGAGAGAAGTGAGAGGCATTTAGCATTTTGAGGCTTCTTTCTGCTTGTCACTTCCCAGAAAGGTATTTTTTCTAAGTCTGCTAAAACGGTTAATTGAACATAAGATTTGCCTCGAAGATTTGGAGCAAATGTGTTCTAGACATAACATGATTTAGCTTTGATGTGAGAATACAAGGTAAAGGTCTGACCTCAAAAACTTTGAGAGAAATTGGAAAGAAACTTTCTTTAAGCATCTGATTCAGAAATCAAAGATGTGAGCCGCTGTGCTGAGGACATTCAGGATCTCTTACCCCGGGAACATGCTTTTGCTGTCTAGAACAGGAGACAGGCAGGGCAAAGAAGCAGACAGGCATTAAGTCTGCCTCATTATTTTAAAATATGATTTGCAATTACTAGTAGACAGCCCACATTTTTTTGCCAGAAGATATGAAAATTCAACATTTGTTACATTAATAATGCATTTCCCTGGTTTTATATACAATGTGCCACTTCTTGTCTTCACATACATGAAGTATAATAAGCAGCTAGTATATTCTGAAATAAGAGATATAAATTCAGCTTGGAGATTAAGTTCAGCTCTTTCTGAAGTAACTTTTGTAGGGTTTTTAATCTCTTTTTTTTTCCTTTTGTCTGAAAAAAAAAGCAATCCTGAATGCAGAAAACAGACCTTTGGTTTGGGTGGGATGGAGTAATGAAAGGTTAAATACTCTGTGTTGTAAGCACGGAAATTATATTTGGGCAGGGTTTGTTTAACCAGCTGTACCCTACTAACTTTTGCCCAAGAATGATAAGCACAAATTGCACCTAAGGAAACCACACAAGTGACGCTTTTCAGGGTAAGATTAGTATTCACACTCTCCATTTCCTCCACTTTACATCACAGCCGGTAAACGATACCACCAGGGAGAGAGCAAAAACCATGACCAGGGTTTCTTCTGAAGGCAGAAGCACAAGCACTGTCCAGATGTGCTTCATCTTCACAGACTTCGGCAGACATGGACTGTGGGCAGCCTGCCACAAATGCTGTACTTCCCTACCTCACCACAGGATATTAAGGGTGGCTTCTTGGTAGCTGTGTTTGCAAAGGAGTCACCATGCTATGACGTGGCACCTAACTTCTTCAGAGACAAATTAAGGGCAGTTCACCACATCCAGGTAAGCCCAGGTGCTGCCCAACCCAGCAACATACAAACATTTTGCAGTGCCATTTCCCAAGAAACAGCTAAAACACAGTTTGGTACCAAATAAAACAGATTTTCTACATTATTTAGAAAAAAAAAAGTCTAAAACCTCCCAGAACACCCCACGGATGCTGTATCATGCTCACAGGGTTACTAGGAGTTTTAAAATACATATGACTAAAAGCTATGACCTGGTTTCATTTGTGAAATCTGGGAACAAAGAAGAAAACTGGGGGAAGGGAAGCACAGGATGGCACCACTGCACAAAACCCACAGCCCTATATTTCCTCTCTCTTCCTGCTTCTAACATTTACTTTTAAGGCAGCAGTTGCTGTGGGAGTCTTTTACAAACTTCTGTAAAATAGCATTTCTGCTGTAGCCACTGCTTCTGCTTTTCCCTAAGGGATAGTGCCAAGGCTTAGGTAAGCCAGCAAGGGCAAATGTATCCACAGCCTTCCCTTCATTCCATGGCAGCTGGACTCTATATAACGTAAAGATATCAAAATCAGGAAGGATAGGGGGTTCACTCGACCAAATGCAGATGTTGACAATATGAGCACCTCCAATGAGTCTCTAGAGAGAGAAAGAGGCACTTTCAGGACACAACTAATCCCATCCAAAAGCCAGAATCTGAAACAAGTCATCCCTTTGAAGTACCTATTATTAGGGGAGCTTAGTCTGATACAGGTGTCTAAAGTTAGGTGGGCTATTCTCAAACATTTCCCATTGATGTTCATGAATTTTAGACTTATGGAAATACATATAGATATATTTGCAGAAAACTTTTCATTGTAACTATTCTCATTTCTTATGCTCCTTTCCCAGAGTCTCCTCTTTGCTTTCTTTCTTTCTTCTTTATTCCATCTTATTTTTTTTCTTTCTCCTCCTCTTCATTCTCCACCTATCTTTTTTCCTCCCTCCATTTCCTCCACTGTAACTAGCCACCTTCATCCCCACCTCGTCCACTGTTTCTTCCACCCAGCTGCAGGTCCTTCTCAGAGGGAGGGAGGGACAGGGAAGGCAGGACTTGCTCACCCCCCAAGCGCCTGGCAGCCACAAATGCAGACAACAAGATTAGCCCAGAAGATAAGGCGGCAATTAAATTAATGTCCTGCTATAACCCTCTAAATGCAGGCAAGATGGAAGATGGATTTCTGCTTTCATCATAACTAATTGACAGTTGCTGTCTGCAAGGTGCTTCTTAGCTTCAGTTAAACAACAACAGAAAATGAAACACTGACTGGTAATAACTGATAAGGTGGTGACAAAAAGGTTCAGAGGAGCTGAAAGGGCAGGAGCCATTTTTAATTAAAGCCTTTTCTCCAGCTCCCTGCAGCTCACTTTCTGGCACCAACACCAGTTTTGGTGTGGGCCCGTGCAGGGGAGTGGATACAGGTGTGAAGGGCACACTGCAGTGGTCCCCATGCTCGTTGCTCTCTGAACACCTGCACATCTGCATCCCTCCCCCAGGTAAGGATTTGCTCTTCACTTCCTTTGTATGTCAAACAGAAAAGCAGCATGCTATAGCAAGCAATATGAAAGTGAGTGTGGAAGGGCTGCAGGCTGCTGGAGAGACGCAGACAATGTGCAGGCAACCCCCCAGGATCCACCAGGAGCAGGAAGGCTTTTCTCCATGGGGAGAGAAAGGCAGGGGGAGCTCAGCATTGTTCTCAGACTAAAGCCAAAACACAGCACCGTACCAGCTACTAGGAAGGAAAAAAACGTAACTGTTACAGCTGAAACCAGGACAGTGTCAAAGCACAGGAGGAGAAAGAGCAAGCTCAGAAAATTCAGGGTTTATTTTAATTTAAAAAAGAAAACAGCCTGCATATGTATACATGATTATTTTCTAGGATGTTTCATTGTTTAAAATGTTTCATTTTAAAGCGCAAAAGGACAATGTGTAACTGCTTATAAGTTGATATGCTTATATTAACATTTTTTTTAAAGTGTAATATACATTACATATAGTATAACACAATAAAGTATTATAAGGTACTGAAATATTTTCTTCCTGTTGAAAAGTTACAGGTCCAAAAGGCACAAGCCAGAATCTGATGAGGGCGCACAACACTAGGACTCACAGATCTGCATGTTGAATATCCCAACAGTCAATGTTTTGCAAGATTTTCTCTGTTACAAGATGGCTACTCCTGAAACGCACCATGGCTTTATTCTTTGCTCAACATCCCCAACACAAAAGTAGCAGGTAGTGCGTGGCATGGACTGAAGAAATGCAGGTTCTGCAGCTGAGCTCAGCTCTTCTGTGCAAATAAATCATATTTGATTCAGTCCTTACTAATAAACTGGGATGGCAACCGAAACAGTTGCTACAACAAGTCACCACTCTTGGTCCTGACTCCCAAAGGTTCAGGGCCAAAGATGGGCACTGCATAATCATGAACCCCCAGACTGAGACTGGGGGGGGGGGGTGTGTGTGTGTAGCTTGAGCTTGAAATGTAACTCTATTAAAGTATTTTGCTGTAGGATTACTACTACCTCTTCTGTTACTGTGTCCAGAGAAGGCCCCTTCTAAAACTAAGTGTGAATCTTACATATGGCCTGCATACAACTTTTTATAATAATATGCAAAATACTATAGAGCTTAAAAGCTTCTCAGGGCATCTGAGATAGGAGTACAAAAATACAATAGCTGAGACAACACCTGATAAAATTAGGCAGATAAAGGAAGAAAAATGGCCTGTACCATGGGACTGTGATGGTGTTTCTTCCCAGCAACTACTACTAGCCAGGTAAGAGCTACCTCAAAACCGGTGTAGCTCCACAAGCCTGCAGCTGACATGTGGTTAAAGAATATGGAATATTCTCAGGTATCTTGCTGAACAATGTTTTATTTGTTGGGCTTGTAACAATGCTCCCAACCTTTGTTATCAGAACTAAAGCTTTTGTCTGACCTTATAAAATGTTCTTCCTATGTTTGCTGCTGAGCCTTTCTATTGCTGGGGGACAAGATGATCAAGAGCAAAACCAGTGTGCTGGGGACTACTTTCACAGCCAAAACTATCTGCCTGCTGGTGCTAACATGTGCAACCCAGAGACTTACAGTCAGCAGAAGGGGTTGCCTTGAGAGCCACAAGTTTTGAAGAAGGAGATCCTTGTGACATGGCCAAAACAATGCCCCCTGTGAAAGGAGCAGGTGATACAGAATCATCTGGTACTCTGTGGTGCGCTCTTCCTCTTCTTTCCTAGCTTCTGACAAGTCACATTCCTGCAACTTATTAACAGGTTTCATTTAAATCTTAAATAAATACAATGTAAAAGGTAAAGCAACCCTCACTGCCTAGGCTTAATCATTAAAGCAGAGGATTTACATCCTGAAAATGAGATTATCCATTCGTTTTCCCTCTACAAGCAGTGCTGGGATTAGAAGCAAGCAAATTTCCAGTTTTCCTTCTCCATATGCTGGCTTTTGCAGAAGACTGACTGTGCACATTCTTCATCCATCAAAAATTTCCTGAAGATTGGCAGAACACACTGCTTAGGGCACTTAGGACCCTAGGAACATGCTTTCAAACATGATAAAAACCTGGGATCGGCTGCAAGGTTTTCCATGCTCCTCTTATTTTCCTTGAGATAGTTCAATTATGAAGGACTTGTCTCTGATGACAGGGAAATCATCTAAGAGGCTTCTTAGGCTATTATGGCACCCAATGAGCCGACCTCTCCGGGCATGCTGATTCAGCCTAAAAAGGTATAATGAAAACATGTAGCATTGTGTGGGGTGTCATCAGTCCGTATAAGCTCTACCTTTGTTGAACCTTCTCTCTTTCTATATGGACATCTTTGTCATCTTCTACAGCAAAATTTACAATTCATGATTCCTCTGTAGATGTAGTGAGATGGAAATTGTGAAAATGGCATTTAAGAACTAAGGTAAATTTTAGATCTAATGTTTTTCATCACACAGATACCTTTACAATGCTTTAGAAATATCTGCAAATTAATTCAGCAGCTGCTTTGTGGTAGCTATTGATACTTACAATACTTACAATTTTACAATACTTACAATAACTTGCAATGTTAATACTTACAATAAGGAAGCAGAAGCCGGAAGGAGCTAAGTGAGACAACAAGTTAATTACAGAACTGGGAATTAGACAGTGTGACTCTGAGTCAGATTTCATTGTCACTGCAATGTGCTGAAACTCTACCCCAATCCCTGGCTGCAAGGTGCCTCCAGACCCATTGTTCTGGCCTTACCTACACACTCGATAAACTGTACCTGGGTTAAAGGTAGTCTGCATCTGCAGAATGACACAAATCTACGTCATTTGCAAAACATAGCTTACTGAAACTGCTGCCTTACTTGCAGCTCGCTCCTTGCCCTGCTCTTTCCAAGGGCTGCTTGGGTGCACCTCTGTATACCTGGGCATATGAGGACAAGGCAGACGTGGATGCTGGCAACATGTCAGGTTCTTGCTCAGCCTTTTGACAGAGTGGATGTGGGACATATAGCTCTTAGGTGGCTTCATAACAGGCTATGCACTTTGGTAGAAAGGCAACACATAAACCAATCTAGGGTGGTATATAAAGGATGGTCTATTTCTCAGTAAAAGTAAGCTAGAAATAGCCCATTTCCTTTTTTCTTTTTTCCTTCTTTATTGTCATATGTGCTCAACCTCATGATATTGTGTGCAAGACAGAGGTCCCAGAAACATAAACTTAAGTGGAGTAAAATCCATAAAACATTGAGCATTGACATATGAACACAGGATTAAAAAAAAACTAAAATCAAGTCCACTTTGGTTTGAAGTTCTGTTTTCTCCCAAGTTGCCTTACAAACTAGACTGAATTCAGAGGACAGTACATCCCACTCATTCATTCCCTGATCTACTGCACATTATTTCCACTACAATTTACCACTGGTGTCAATTATGTTTATCTGGTATTTCTGCTGAAATACCAGAAAAGCATTGGTGCTCTGTGCCTCTACTTAGTATCCCATCATCAATCCTTTCTTCTCATAATAAAGGCAAGTGGCATATTTCCTACTCACCAGCAACATGTCTTGTATTGCCTGTAATGTCCCACTGAAAATGTTTTTTTCCTCATCTTGCAAAATGTCTTACAGGTATGTTCATCATATTTGAATAGAAAGTCCCTAAGTTTGTATCATCCATATGAAAAAGATGCCCTCAGAGCAAGAGTTATCTCTAAAACATGATGTATTTGTATGGAAAGTCTATACTAGATCTATATTAAACATATATTAGACATATAGTAAATATCTGTATCAGATATACTTACGGCAATATTCAACAACAACGTCTCTCTTGAGTTTTAGAACTTCATCCTATAATGAGACAATATTTTTTTCCTTAGTATTATGTGGGACTTTCATGTACTGAGAATGTAACAAAGCTGAAACACTTGTAATTTTTTCTATTAATATCATTTTAAAAGCCCCTCCAGATTACATGCAGTACTACAAATACCTGAACTATGAAATTCCAAAACTTTAAGGAGGTTAAACATCCAGAAGTATTTAAGCCAGTATGCCAGACTCAGTAGACAGTTAAGGCAGTCTTGTAAATAAATTCAGAATTACTTTATTCAAGTCTGTTTCATATAATTTTTCCTCATACACTCACGAGGATGGAGCCATCTACTCAGTGGCAAACAATGATAGGACAAGGGGTAATTTGGAACACAAGAGGTTCCACTTAAACTTGAGTCTGCAGGCTGCCCAGGGAGGTAGCAGTTATTTCCTGTGTAACGTTATACAGGGGGATTGGACTCACACAGCATACTGAGCTGGCAAGAAGCTTATGAGTATGTTGAACTAAATAATTTATGTGATTTAAAAAAACAGAATAGCCATTAAGGGTTTGAGTAGAATGAGTTTGATTTTACTGACTGGTAAACTCCTAAAGGCCATGCCTAACCTATAATGTATTCAGTGCAAGTTACATGGTCACAAGCAGTTTAATACAGGATATAAGTTCTCACCTTAGACGCTGAATAAAGAGAAATTTGCAAAAGGCAAAATCTATACCCATGGTGGTATACTTAGAAATACTTTAACTATCACATCTTCTTCCAAAATAAAATAATAAAAATGCTAGAAATACTTGTTCAAAGAGCCTTCCTTACATAGTGTCTGTCTCTAGCTAGGACCACTACTGGATGCTTTCTATATAAAAGCCCAGAACAGTTCTGTACCTACCAGCATAGCTATAGCCAGAATTTACCTCCTTACGTAGGAGCAAAATAGCTCAGGAACAATGCCCATTAGCATCCACAACCTTAGTTAGCCATGTGTCTGCAGACCGCTGCTATTTTCCATGCACCTCTCCATCACAAGCATTGCAGCCATACCCATGGGAGACCACGGGGAGACAGCACAGTGGAAGAAGATTCACTTGAGTCTCCACAGGCACATGAACCAAAGTGACCCCTACCCAGCAAAGGCGGCTTGGCCAGTCTGTAAGAAATACCTTTTAATGGTACAGAATAAGCTTGGTGAATGCCAGGAGAAAATAAAGGGGCTAGTGGGGTTGTTTGCAGCAGCTGATCCTGTTTTGCTCCCAGAGACTGAGTTTCTTCCACTTGCTGATTTGCTCCAACTTGTTAGACTTACATTTCCTTCCTAAAATATCATGAATATCAATTCTGTGCTTGCTCTCATAAAGACTGGCTGCTCTTCCTACTAAATCAATGCAGATTTGCAGTTCTATATGATTTCATTTGCTCTAGCTTTATGCTATAATAATTCACTGAGATCATTGAAAGTCACAGGAAAAAACATTTCTCACTGAGCACAGGCATAATGAAACTGTAGCAGCAGCAGACTCAGAGGCAGCACTGATTTGTAAATCAGATAATATTCTTGACAATCAGCTGCAAATAAAACATGAACATTCACAGAAATTCACATTTTAAAATATGTGCAAATAATTGTATATTTAGATCACTTGTCTGCAAAATCACTTTGCCTCCCCACGAAAACAAAAAATGACACTCATTCCCCTACACCGCCTGCTTAAGTCCCAGTGGCTCCTGGCATGAAGTAACCTCAGAAATTTCTGCATATTTATATTAAAATAATCCTAAATTTCAAATAGGAATGAGTGGTACTTTTCCAAGTTCTTGAAGTCGTATTTCAAAAGTGGCACAGGCACTCTGAAGTACAGGGGAGATAAAAAAGCACATAATTCCCCTGCAAATCAAGGAGAGCTATTGTCTTTTGCGTATAATGGGAAGGAAAAAGACCAAATTGGGAAAAAAAAACACAAACAAACAAAACAGCCCATGTTTTAAGAGTTGAGTTCCTTCCCCTAAGTAAGTATCAGCCTGGCTTGGTTACTGTCAGCTTGCAGACAGATCTAGCAAAAACCACTTTTGCTCTGTTGTAGTAGAAAAAGAACTTACTGGCCAGAGACAATTTTTCCTGCTTGGCCGAGCACAGGGAGCATACAACATGTATTAAAAAAACAGTGGTCGGCTACTACCTTAGAAGTAAAAAGGCAGATATGAGCAGTGCCTTAAATCCTGAGAAATATTTCAGCCTATAAACAAAGTCTGTATAGAAACGTTGAGCACTGAGGTTACAAATACATGGGAGTTTGCCATTTTGAAGGTCCTTAGATCAGTATCAAACAGGCTGGTCTGCCTCAGGGCTTATTGCACAGTGAGACTGGGTTGGTTAAGCCTGTGCCCTTCATGGCACAGCCATAGCTATCAACCAACCAGACTATGGTGGGTGTTGCAGAGCACACAGCCCTCTTGGCATCACACAACCAGCTCTCCTTCACATGGGCTGAAGGGAGACACCACAGACTTTGGTCTGTGTTGAGTGGGCAACTGGTGGGTCCCTCAGTGCAGACGCAGCCTGTGACATCCTGCAACCAACTCCCCTTCCTATGTAAGGAGGTTATACAAGATTTTTTCCAGTTTTACATATTAATATGGAACAACAGATGCATGACCTCAGTGATAACAGCCTCTGTTGGTTATATTAATTGTCCTCTGTGTGTGAGTTTGATCAGTTAGCTAATACCCACTGACTGTAAATCATCAAAAACTGATCCATGTTGATGAAGCAGCCATTAAATGACTTAACAGAGGAGACATGAAAATGAAAAAATACAGTCCCTGCCATTCTGTGAAAAAGAAGCCATTCAGCATTTAGACAGTAGAAGAGCTCCAAATGTTGAGAAGATCAATCCTTTTCAAATGAGTGATGAAGAGCCATTTTCAGAGTAAGACTACTCAGGTTTATCAGCAGAGACACGCAACACCAGCACTTCGTATGGCAGCACAGAGGATTGATTTGGGAAAGAAACTGAGGTTGCTCAGTTCCACTGAGGATTTCAGTGCTGCAGAACCTGATTAGAAATGAAGCTGGAGAATCTCAGAGAAGAGATTCTTTTCAGAGAAGAGATTTTGTCCCAGAGTCAAACTAGCCTCTGGGACAAAATAGACCATGGCCAGCCCTGGGAGGCTGCACTGCTGGGCATCCAGGTGCCGGTGCCTGGGTGCCCACCAAGTGGGCAGGAACGCTCTGGGACATGGCCTGAGTGCTGCCAAAAGTTTCACAAGATCAGTGGTGCAAAAGGTTCCACTTGGCAGCAAGCAGGAGTCTCTGACACCGCAATACTAAGCTTTTTTTTTTCTGGGCTGTCAGGATATCAATTTGTTTGGGCCAATGGATCTCAGATACATGGTGCAGAATCACTA